ATAATCAAGTTTTCTAGTCACAAATCTATAAGCAAATAAAAATTCATACACAAGCATACACATATATCCACACACACACACACACATATATACATATATATTATCATATCTTACTGACATCTTAATTCTAAATACATTGCAATACACTTGCTCAAAAGAAAGGAATTACAGTTCTTTAAAATTCACAATCAAACCCCTAGATTGGCTCTTTTCCTCGTCCACTACTAGATCTATCATTTGGACCTGTAAATATTGCAAAGAAAGGGGTGAGACAACCACAGTCTTAGTAATAGAGAAATCTACATTTATTATTACAAAGTAAGACATAGTTGAATAAATGAATAATAAATTTAACATAACATATAATTAAGCCATTTAAACTGCGTGAATGCATGACTTAGGCTGATGTAGCCTTTCTTGACCAATAGAATGCCCCCTGGCACTTTCAACTTACAAGTAAACCTTAGACCCACTTATACTTTCACAACACAAAATATAATCTAAGGCATGATCTAATTTACCGAACTGCCTATACTCCTTTAATATGAATCTTGAGTGGTCAAAGCTAACTCCCTCCAAGAGCTAGCCTAATTTACTCTCCACGTGAGGGCTACCTTGGAGTGGATACTCAACCTCACACTTCACATGTTAGATTCCCTCCCCCATTGAGAGGTGTCGAACACTCAATCTACTAGCCACTTTAGTGCATTGAGCCTACAAATAAGTAAGGCAACACTGAATACTAACAGTGTACCATAGAATATCATAAGTTCACACCTTCCCATTAGTGAACTCCACCGAGATTATGGCTTCTACTCTTGTCTACCTTTCTTGAGTATTGACCACTTCAACACTTGAAGGTAGTATCACATATATCATTCCTACCTTAAGCGGTTCCTTAGCCTTTCTAAGGTATCTAATCCAATTAACTTCCTTGAGTGCAACCTCCAATCTCTATGATAATAATGCATGGTAACAATCTCGTTTCCATAAAAAACATTATTATTAAACAAATAGGAAACATAATTGCATTATTATTAAAGTAATATCCCATAAACCCTTATAAAACTCATTTAATTGCATTTAATCATTTAAAATATGTAATGTATAATAGCTAATATTATTTATTCAATAATAACTAAACAAAGCAATAAGAAATATAAATTTCTCTATTACTTCAACCCTTTTATACCAAAAGATTTTTCCATATACAAAAAATAAGATTTGGCTTCTTCCTTATCCTCTAATTAAGTTCCACCAATAATTCCCTATAACATATAAGTGATCCACATCATTTTATCATTACAAATAGTATAAAAGAAGACTATAAGTCATACCACACAACTTAGGTTAATGAACCACAATCCATCCTAATTATTCATATATTAAACCAACCATTCTCATAATACCGCTTAACCACCAAAACTATTTATTAGCCACCATTAGGCCGATTTTTAAATTGTACAATTTTTAATCAGCCAAAAACCTTCACTTGGCATTACCAACTTTCACAATCAGCCATTATAATGAAATTCAAAGCTTAATTTAAATCTTATTAGATTTAAATAGCATAATTATAACCAAGTAAATAGGCTCAAACAATTGAGGAGAAAAAACTAATCTATTGGGGTTTAATTTTTGCCCAAAACTCTCTTCTTTCATCAAATTACCCACTTAAAACATTAGAGCAATGCATAGAAACTCAAAACAACCTCCCTAGACCCAAAGAAACCAAAACTTGCAAGAACTAAGCCATTGGGACCAAATTCAAAATTTCTCTCTTCCAAAAATTTAGGAAAACTAAGAGGAAAGGAAGATGATTGAAGTAGGAGCCTACCTAACATGTAACTGAGCTCACAACCACCATAAAACCTTCTAGATTTGAGTTCTAGCTTCCCTTTCTTCATTCCTCTTCTCCACCATCACTCTCCTCTTCCTTTTTTGTTCTTGTTTGTGCTTTGCTTCTTTGTCATTCGTTTCTGTGTTCTATTCTCTTAGAAAAAAAACTGAATTAAGCAATTTAGGAAAAATTACAAGGAAGGGCCCAAGTCTTTTTTATAACACAAAGACCAGGGTACTTTGGTAATTTTTTTCATAATTAAAAATAAAATAAAAATAAACTTTTAATTAGTAAAATTCAAACTTTGGATCTTTATCCAATTATTCTTAATTTTAATTTAATTATAAATATTTTATTTTTTATTATTTTTTAATTAAATTTTGGTTTTAAAAATTTTAAAATGTTACAGTCAAAGTGATTTTGGTGTTGTCCAAATTTTTTTTATTTGCATTTAATTTCTAGTCACCTTTTGTGAGTTTTTGAGTTACGGTTGTGCATTAAGCACACTTGCGGTTAGTTAATCATTTTCTTAATCAATTTGAGGTCTTATTTGGTTATGGTAGGGGCTGGAATTGATAATTAACTTCATAATCAATTAGTTATTTTTAAGTATAATTAGTTCTAAGGGGTATTTTAGAGTCCTAGTTAATCTAAAGAACCTAAGAGTGCTAAGTTCTTAGTGGTTACTAGGATGACTTTAACACTAATTGGGGTTAAGAGAAAATTAATTAGATAGAGCAAAGATAAGAGAGGGAGTTCATGTGCCTAGAAAGACCATCGTTTTGCATTTTAATCACACATTTCAACCATTTTTCAAATCTGTCCAAAATCTTGAAGATACAAAAAAATTTAGTTTTCATTTAATCTTTTCTTGTTTATTTCCTAATCAATCAAACCTAATCAAATTGTTACTATTCTTGGTGTATTTAAATAACTAAGGTGTTAATTGCTAATCAACTCTGTGAGAGATTTGACCTAGGTTGCTCCCTATACACTAGAGTGTTTCTTAGTTTAATTTGAGTGTTTAAGCGACTGGTGCACATCAATGTTGCAATTGTACAAGGAAATGATTAGCATGGGTTTGAAGGGATTTCTGTTTTCTTTTTAATTATTTTATAAATAGCAGTCATAACCATTGACTAGAGAGTTTGATAGTCTTCCTAAGAAATGGATAATTCCATTTATTATCATATAGTTCTCCATCTAGAATATTCCAACTAGGTTAGCTACTTCAACAAAGATTACAAAGTACTTAAAATTAAAGGCAAATAGTTTTTCCCCCAACGATTACAAACTTGTCCATCTATTATCACCATGATTCTTCAAAATTGCTTGTCTCATTGACATGATGGCAAACAAAGTCTAGATGTAGAGTGATTATCCCATAGCTAGCTATAAATTAGAAATGAAGATGACGGGTGAGTAAAGAGATTATATTAGTGAATATGTATCAATAGAACAATCTCATATATACACATATTGTTCTTACATATTATTTGATCCTAGTATGTCCCTGAAATTTAACTCATTTAAACATTCTTTAACACAAAAAAAAATTGTTTAATAATTGATCCAAATGAATCATCAGGGAAAGTTCAATTGGTGCAAAGAGTGGTTCTTGTATATAATAATTGCAAAAATAATTATGTTAATTGAAAATTGCATATATCCATTAAGAGAAATGCTTCATTATTATTATTTTTTCTAATGATAAAAATACCTGTGATAAATTGGCGATGTCATTTCTCATTTATGCTATCATTATAGACTACAATCTCCTTTCCTTTGGCTTTTCTATTGTCTTCTGAACCTCCTGGGATTTCCTTCACATTGACGAGAGTCATATTTTGTTGTTGGGATTCTGACATCCAAACAAAAATTAAGATATATTTGTTTTAACTTACTTGTTCAACTTACATGAATATAGTGAAATATTTATATTTCCATCAAATCCTTAGGTCTATTACTTGTTGGAATTGGTTGTTCTAGATCAATTGATTTCATATTCAAACCATAGAATCAATTGAAACCAATTATAAACTTGAATAAAATCCCTTATCAATTCAAAGGAACTTGAAAGCGTACCTGAATAGTCAAATCCATAGTCACAAGATTCCATACATTGATGGATCAGCATACTGTGATCTTCCAAATCACAAACATTGGAAACTTCCTTATGGTTCTCTAGAAGGGTCAAACAACTAGTTTCTGGTTATGCCCAATGCGAGGATCACAACCCCTATTTATAGACTTAAGTTTGTGTTATTTACGGTTTGGCCTCTCAACAAATTATAAATATCACTCTAGTCTCTACACATTAATTCCATAATCATTACACACCCCCTTAAGCGTTAAAACTTTTCCAAATAGACCATTTATTTAGGCTAAATAATAATGGCCACACAGTTTTAATTTTTACATCAGTGGCCTCATATGTTGTATTTTATTCTAAGATTACCTTGTCTATTAGTTGAACTCTTGGACAATGGTGTCTCCCAGTAAGGATGCAATGAGAGCCTCTTGTTATCTTAAAAACTATGACATGTTATAGTACATTTTTTTAAGAAATTTGCATATACGCTATTGAATAAGACGGGTTGATATCACTATATTATATATACATGTACCATGATAACTAATGGTGTTGCCACCATGCTTTCCAAATGGAAACATTGGTAATGAAGTATCATTTGCATTATGATTGTCAAACATTGCTTCAATAGAAAAATTCGAGGAGGGCCACTTATATCCATTATTTATATCATTTACTGTCACACATCAATATATTTGTTGTGCTTAGATAGAGTTTTGAAGCATATTTGAGTTATCAAGTTGAATAATGAAGACAACTATATAGGATAATTATAACAGTATATGTAACCTATCTTGATTGGCTATGGCATTAGCATACAACCTAAAAGTCATGAAGGATTAGGACAATTAAACTGGGTTTTTACTGCTATTATATTCTCTTTTACAGTCTTTCACATAAGATGCAAGTGGAACTGGAAATGCATGAAATGGTAAATAGAAAGTTGACAATGGAAAAAGAGGATAAATTATAACATGGAGATATGTGATATAACAAAAGTTGTATTCATATAGAAATTGGTAAAAATGTAGTTTAATATTGAACCCATTGGGTTGAATTTGTACGTACCTTGATTATTAATTATTTCACTAGCAGCATTGGCAAATTGGATTTCAGGTGTGATTGTGTCGTTGTCATTATGATCGATTGAGCAATTTCTTCCTCTCTTTGTACATTTTAAGGTACTTGAACTCTGCAAGCAAAATGTTCATAAATTGAACTCATTTAACAAGAAAGTCCAAAGTTATATAAAGTGTTTAACATAACACAATAAATGTTGTAATTATTGTGTGAGTGTGTCAAAAAATAAATTCCCATTGATCACATGAGAGAAGAGGTCTCAGCAATTTTTGTGAAAATATTTTTGACAAAAATAAAAAATATTTATTTAAAAGAGTTTTTCATAAAAGCCTTTATTTACCTTGTTTAAATTTCAATTCAAATAATAAACTTGTTTTCTTAATCACCTTGGCAGAAAATGTTAGTCTCTCCTTAACTTCTAATTATCACATTTGAATATGTTAATTATCTCATTTGCAATGTCCACTCTTAATGTTTTATTATTATATTCGAATGGTGGCTTTATCACTCATTTACCACCTATCATTCATTTTAATGATTAAATAAATGTGTTTGTGTTGAGTTCCAAAATATCAAATGGTGGCTTTATCTATACCCATCATTTCATTTGATGGTTATAAACGAATTTGCCTCGACGTCCAGAAACGTGCTTAAAAATTATATGTTTTATTAAATTGAAATGGTGAAATGGTAGAGTGATGGTCATTTATTTAGCAATGATGCTTCCAACAGCATTGTGAATTTCAAATTATGGCTAAGCATTTTTGAGTTGTTGGGCACTTCTCTTCCTCTCATATGTCTTGCTTCCTGAGTTCATTTTTCCCTCTAAATTATTTCTACTGTTCTGTTACCTTATTCAATTTTACAGGAGGGTTCTACTTAATCTTGGGGAGCTTTGACAATTGTGCCAGAATTATTCTTAAAAACAGTGTCTTTAGGCACGACTTGGAACAAATTTTACATTGCTACCGCCAACAATAGATATATGAGCTTACAGAAGCAATATTGTCATCCCCCATCACCATTCGTTTCCTGCTAAGTGCTAGTTCTTTCTCCATCATCCTTGTACCAAATTGTTCTGTTGAAAGATAATTGTTTTGTTCCAAATTAAATCTATTAGTGCTTTACAATAGAGAATGAGAATAAAATTTTCTTAACAGTTAATTTGCCTATGTATGTTCCTTTAACTGTTATCACATACGTCTTTAGTTTTAATTGAAATATTTCTTGATATGTTCCAAAGTATAATTATGTGCCTAAGTCACATACATGACTTTCGTCTTGACATTGGTAAATGTACCTTTTGATAAACAGAACATTAAATAAATAAAATCATGCATCAAAGACTTGTCCGAACATACAAAATTCAGCACCCAGCAATGTCTATCTGTTGAGACAATTTTTTTCTGGTGAATACAAAATGAATGAAGTATACATATAGTTATTTCTAACAATTTTATTGCGTATCTTTTCTTTTCAATATATATATATAGACATGTTTCTTTGGAAAAAATAGATTATTATAAGTTTAAATGGTTCGATAACAAAAAATGTAGGAAAATAGTGAGGATGGAGAAAGATAAAGTGAATTAAAGTTAATAATAGCCATGATATCATCACCATCATTGTTGGTGTACTTTGAATTAATCTCATCGTCATCTGGGATGATCTCCGTGATTTCATAATCTATATGTTTCAAAAAGACAAGGGAATGACAGTAAACTAATGATTTTTTTTTCCCCTTTGGAGAACATGGGTCTTTACTCCTTATCCATCTAAACAGTTCAATAATAATAAAAAAAAATATTGAATCGGATTAATAATAAAAATAGAGGAAAATAATTGAAATTAAAGTTGATAATCGTATGAAGAGAAATGCACTTTTGTAACTTACTAATACTTTTCATGGCAAAATAAAAAAATAAAAAAAAACTCACCAATACTTTTATTTTGGATAATAATGCAGTTTGGTAAAACTCAAGTGACAAGCGAAGTGCCAATGAGTATAAAATTAAAAAAAATTAATAAATTAGGAAATGGGAACAGATACAGTAAAAATGATCAACTTTAATATAGAAGTTCTAAAAAAAATATTTGAAGGGATTGAAGAATATATATATATATATATATATGTATTTATGTCTATTACCTTGGTGACTGATAGACCTACTATATAAGGGTGTTTCCCCACTAGGAAGCAATGAGAGCCAATCGTTATCTTCAATGTTCAGTCCTACAAGTTATATTTGTCTATTTGTTTAGACAAAAATTAGTACATGATAAAGTAAATTAGTTTATTATTACTATTTTATGAATGTACCTTGGTTTTTGAAGGTGTCATGGGAATGCTCTACCTGTAACTTTGATAAAGAAGTAGTATTCACAAGGTCCATCACTGAATAAAAAATGATGCCTTAAGTTCAACAGTTATATAAAAAAGGTATGGATTAAATAATAATGAAATAAATATTTGATAGTACAGTTCTCAAGTTAATCATCAAATATGTTAACAAATTTGATAGTTATTGAAATAATCATCAAATATTATTACTAATTTTTATTTTAAAATATATTCGTTTTTATTTAATGGTTATCATGTTCAACGGTCAAATATATGGAAAATGAATTTAACAGGTTTTGAAGAAATCATCTAATATATATTTAGATATCGCACAAGTTTCTAATGTTATTTAAACGGCATCAACTCTCTGCTCCCCAAAAGAAAAAAAAAAATCTCTGAAGTATCATAGCTTATATATATATATATATATATATAAACTCTTAAGTACATGATTTTCATTATCTGTGTTCTATAATTCTTTTTTACTATTCCCTACACTTTGTAATTTTAATTTGCTTATTAAATTTACTGTATTATATATCCCAGTAAGCACTTTAATTACTTGGGGTGTTACAACATGGAAATATGCATGAAGTACATTACTTGCTATAAAATTTAAAGTTTGTAATTGCACATCCTTGTACTTCAAGGGCCTGACTCAAATGGTTTACCTAAGTAGCATTTTATATACAAACAATACAGCAAGAAAAACCAAAGAACATTCTTTATAAAGAAAATTAAAATGAGTTTTCTTTTCATAACTTTGCTTTAAAAAAAATGTAAGAAAACTAATTTGCCGCTTTGAGTTCGAGGCTTAAATTAAAATATTACATATAGCATTAAAAAGTATAGCCACACATGTGAAATTCAGATAGGGACAACAGCATTATTACCTTGGTCTCCAGTAGTTGAATCCAATATTTCATATGGATCTGTAAATCTGATATCTTCCTTCTCACAAAGTTGTTTGATTACAGAGATTCCCATCTCTTCTAGTCTGATATCTGTTTGTGCACATGTAATATGTACATGATTCCACATACTTTTTCGGCAAGATCGTTCCGTCTTATTATGAAACAAAAGATCCTCTTTGATTTTACACACAGCTATATGATCAACACTTGGTTTGTTCCTAAGCCACAACATATAATCATGTACAAACTCTTCATTGATGTAAACCGAAGTTGCCACGGCCGAATAGATGGGAAGAGCATTATCATTTGGAATGCACATAGCGATATGATCAACATTGTCATTTGATCTAAGAAGAGTAGAAAGGCAGATAGAAAGAGAAATTTATGAATAAAATGCAAAGAGCACTCAGTGCTCTGCTAGGCCTCATTGTATTGAATGCATAGCAAAAACAGTTACAAGGAAAACAAATGAATGAGTGATGCGTACAAATACACTAAAAACAGGACACGTTGCCCTAAACAATAATCTATACCCAACTAAGATAATTACAATATTAACATAATAAATGTCATGTCTTAATATTTCCCCTCAAACAAGAGGGTGTGACTGACAGACCGAGTTTGCTTCTTAATTCAGAAAATTGATTATAGGTCAAGGCTTTGGTCAAGCAATCAGCTATCTCACTGGATGATGGAACATATTTCACAACCAATTTACCAGCAATCACTTGATCACTCACAAAATGAAGATCAATTTCTATGTGTTTGCTGTGAGTATGTTGAACAGGATTAGTAGCTAAAGCATTTGCACTAAGATTATCACACCATATAACAGGAGGTCTCCTTAGGAACAAACTGAGTTCAAACATCAAAGAAGAAATCCAATTCAATTTTACAGTTCCATCAGCTAAAGCTCTATATTCAGACTTAGTACTAGAACAAGAAACTACTTGTTGCTTTCTGGATGCCCATGAAATTAGTGTACCACCCAAATAAACATAAAAACCAGCTACCGATTTTCTATCATCAAGATCAACAGCCCAATCAACACCAGTAAAAGCCATCTAACTGATAGATGTAGTTGGTTTAATATGTAGTCCATAATGATAAGTACCCTTTAAATACCTTGAAACACATTTAACAGCTTGGAAATGAACATTTGTTGGTTGAGATATAAATTGACTCAACTTGTTAATAGAATAAGCAATATCAGGACATGTTGTGGTAAGATATTGAAGAGCTCCTATAGCTCTCCTATAGATAGTGGGATCAGATAAGATATCTCCATCTATTGCAGTTAGTTGATGACCAGTAACTATAGGAGTGGATATAGGGGCACAGTTAAAGCATATTAAACCTTTTTAAAAGGTCTAACATATACTTTCCCTGGTTTAAAAATAAACTAGTGTGATCTCAAAACATTTCAATGCCTAGAAAGTAATGCAATGGACCAAGATCTTTAAAGAGAACAGTGAATTCAGCTTGTGAATAAAATTCTTCAAGTAAGCAGAGTTGTTGCTAGTCACAATAATATCATCCACATATATTAAGAGAAATATTGTAAGATTTTGGGTATAAAGGAAAAATGGCTCTTGGAGAATGCCATTTAAAAATGTGTTATTGATATCGAACTGACAAATTTCACATCTAAACATAATATCAATTATCAAGATAATGCGAATTGTAGCAGCTTTGACAACTGGGCTAAAAGTCTCATTATAATCAACTCTAGGCACTTGCTAAAGTCCCTTTGTGACAAGCCTTGCTTTTTGATGTTGAAGAGATACATCTGAGTTGTACTTGGTCTTGAAAACCCACTTGTAATCAACAACTTTTTATGTACCCAAAAATGGAACAAGTTGCCAAGTGTTGTTTCGCTACAAGGCATCAAACTCTTCTTCTGTGGCTTGTCACCATAATGGCAATTTTAGGACATCACATGCAGAAAGAGGTGCAATATTCTGTTCAAGCATATTTAGATCTTCACCTTGAAGTAACCTGATAAATGGATATCTGGGCTTAAAACCTCTACTTTTAGAATGTGTCACCATAGGATTAGAGTTTTGTTGGGCTTCTTGGGCTTCATTAGCTAGGCTCATAGAACATATTAGACTGATACTGATAGATGAAGTAGAGACTTCTTCATTTAAGCTAGTGATAAGTAAAGAACCAGAAGGTGAATTAGCAAGAGACAAAATTCAAATTGGTAACGTGGCAACTGGACCTATCATAGCACTATCCGAAGGCAACTCTAAAGAAGATAACTAGGTTTGTTCACTGCTACTCATTGGAGGAGTGATGATTAAAGGAATCGACGAGCCATCTGTAAAACTAGAATGTCTATTAATAAAACCTGAGACAAAGGGAAAAGTAGATGGGTCAAACGCCACATGATGAGATACATATACACGCCTGTTGAACTCAGACATTTGTAGCCATTTAGCTAAGATGCATAGCCCAAGAAAATGCACTTTTGACTATGAAACTAAAATTTGTGTACATTATACGGTTTTAGACAAGGGTAGCAAGCACACCCAAATGGTTGCAAAGTTTTATATTCTAGCTTTGTTTTTAGTAAGCAAAACAGGGAGTTGCACCTTCAAGAACAGATGTGGGAAGTCTAATTAATAAGATATACTGAAGTTTGAAATGCTTTAACCTAGTAAGTAAGAGGCATGTGTGCTTGAGCTAAAAGAGTTAAGCCCGTTTCAACTATGTGCCTATGTGTACGTTCTGCTCTCCCATTTTAAGGTGAAGAATAAGGGCAAGTGAACCTCTGATTAATGCCATGGGCTTGAGCAACAGGAATGAAAGGTTTGTATTTTGAACCACCATTACACTGTAAGCTCTTGATTTTTGTATTAAATTGATTTTCAACTAAAGGTTGAAAATGATTAAAGGCATTAATTGCTTCACCCTTATGTTTTAGTGGATAGAACCATATGAATCGGCTAAAATCATCAACAAAATGAATATAGTAATGATGATCATGTATTGATTGAACTGGTGAAGGACCTCACAAATTGGTGTGAACTAATTCTAATAGACAAGATGCTTGAGAAGCAGAACTAGCATAAGGAAGAGATTTGGAGTTACCATATTGACATGCTTCACCTATAGATTTGTCATTAATATTCATAGAAGCATTACATTTATTCAAAATTTGTTTCAAAATGAGATCACTAGGATGGCCCAGCTTATAATGCCAGTCTAAATAAGAGGTAAACATCACTTTTGGAATTGTAGCAGGAGCAACCTTTATTTGAAAAGAGGCAACATTAACCATGGGATACATGCCTTGTTGTGGAGGCTCATGCATTAGTACCTATTTTGTTAGCTTGTCCTTTACAACACAACCATTATTAGAAAATTCAACAAAAACTTTATTATCAAAAACCAAATGAGAGATGCTTACTAAGTTTTTAGTAGCTGAAAGAACGAGCAAAACATCATTAAGAGTAACAGGAGTAGGAGAAAATTAAAAAATATTGTTACCACAACTAGGTATGAGAGTTTGAGCACCAGTACAAGTTGAAATATGAGACTTACCAGTAGGAGTAATCTGGTCAAGTTGAGCAGGATCAGGGGTCACATGATAATTAGCTCTACTATCAAGATACCAGGCAGAGTCATTGACAGTAGATGGTGAAGCATAGTAAGCCTACAAAGGAAAGGACATTGTAGAACGATTTGAACTAGAACTTGAAGGTTGAAAATCTCCATCAAAATGATGGTAACAATTGGAAACTACATGTCTAGGACGATAGCATAAATAATAATAAGGACGACCACCACTACCTTGACCGACTATGCAAGCCATGGGACCCACGCTATGATCCACAATTATCATCATGATGACCTCATTGAGCAAAATTGGCTGAGGGTTGTATAGATAAAGAAGAGAACTAATTCAACTAATCCATTTGACTTTTATAGGCCAAAAGGGAAGCTTGAGCATCAATTTAGGACAAGTTTGGTGAATCAATAAGTTTCACCACAATTGGATTGTAATCTGTATCTAAACCATTTAAAGTGTGCATAATGAGATCTTCAGTGGCAACAGGAGATCCTACCAAAGCCAATTGATTGGCTATATTCTTCATTTTTGAAAGATAATCTTCCATTTTAGAGCCATTTTTCTGAGTTCGATAAAGTTCAATCATGTATACCATAACACAAGCCTTCGTCGATGCACCAGCTAAAGCACGAGCATCATTACATAATTCAAGAGCTATGCGACAGTGAATAAGCTGTGCATAGACATCGGCAAACATTGTGTTTCTTAGCCAGCTAACCAAAAGTCAATCAACAAAGGTCCATTCTTCATATTCAAGATTTATCGTAGTAGTCACACCATCGACCACCATGCGCAATGGAATTTGATCGAGACCATTAATATGCATCTCAAGTTTGTTTCCCTCAATTAAAGGTAAAACAACAGATTCCTAGAGAAGAAAATTGCCTCTATCTAACTTGATAGAAGTGGAAGAATGTGATGAACTAAACAATGGATTGGTTTTTGCAACTTAAACGATAATGGTGGGTGGTGTAGTGGATGAGACAAGTGCTCCAGCAAAAGAGACCATGCCATGGCTTTGCTGCCAAGATAGAAAGAGAAATTTATGAATAAAATGTAAAGAGCACTCAGTCCTTTGCCAGGCCTCACTGTATTGTATATATAGCAAAAACAGTTGCAAGGAAAACAAATGAATGAGTAACACACTAGTACAAAATATGGCTTTTACAGGGGACTTTTTACATCGGTTGGAAGGCAAACGGTGTAAAAAGTCCAAGCGGTGGCAATTTTGTAATATTAGTCATGACTATTAGACTTTTTACATCAGGTGCTTTTTCACCCGATGTAAAAAGTACTTTCTACATCGGATAGAAAAAACACCCGATGTAGAAAGTATACTTTTTACATCAGATAGAAAAGCACCCGATGTAGAAAGTACTTTAAATTTTTAAAAAAATTAAAAAAATACACACTTTTTACATCGGGTGCTTTTCTACCCGATAAAGAAAGTACTTTAAATCTTTTAAAAAATTAAAAAAATACACACTTTTTACATCGGGTGCTTGTTTACCCGATGTAGAAAGTATTCTACATCGGGTAGAAAAGCACCCGATGTAGAAAGTGGACTTTCTACATCGGGCACTCTATCACCCGATGTAAAAAGTATTTTGAATTTTTAAAAATATTAAAAAAATAAATACTTTTTACATCGGTTTTAGTGGTAACCGATGTAAAAAGTATTATTTACATTAGTTACCCTAGCAACTGATGTAAAAAGTCATTTAAAGTTTTAGTTCTCATCATTGTTCCCGCACAGAACGTGTTTGCATCATTTTCCTCCTTGTCTTCTTCTCTCCTCGCCTCCATATTGTGTTACCGTCCTCCTCCTCCTCCTCCTCATCCCTTCTCCCTAAACAAGATACCTAAAATCCAAGATCCATTTTCTCCAAATCCTTCTCCTCCTTCCTCCAAAGTTATTTTCGCATATTCACAGGACATTTTTAGTAAATCTGCTCTTACAGGTACGTTAACCGTTGGATCAAGGTAAAATTTTGTCAGATAGTTTGGAACATCTAATGCGTCATTTTCAATGGTTAGATCATCAATTAGTTTCCAGATGTGAGATTTATTTTGTTCGCATTACAGCCTCTGTTTTGGGTGCTTTCACCATTCTTCTCCTTCTCTCACCTTCTCTCTCTTGTGTAGCATCTCATTGGTGTCATTCTTGTCAAATTTTGGTTCCCTTAGCTTGAATATTACTCATTCTCAGTTATTTATATGTTGCCATTGAATATGAATTTGATCCTGTTTGATATTACTTATTTGCTTTTGGTTGGATTTGCTAATTAAAGGATATGCAAAAGTTAATACCTTGTTCAATCTGTCAATCCAAGTTCATGATTGAATTATTTTCATTTATATTTTATATAAGTTTGCAGTAGCCTCAGCAAAATAAAATGAGAATAAAAATATAATCAAACAACTATATAGACAATGCTAAGGTCTTAGTTATTTCTCTTACCCTGTTTTTGGTTATTCAATATGTCA